TAAGTCCAGAAATCTAACCATATACAACCTTGTAGTAGGACAGTCCCGCAACATTCCTTTTCCTGTCTCCTGCCTTCATTCACCACCCCCTTCTTTTTCAACAATCATCTATCTGAGAGAGAGCATGGCAGCAACTGACATATCATGACAAGCAGCCCATATTCAGAAGACCAGAATGACAGGCACTCCAAGCATGAACCTACTATTACAAATTGCCATCTTCAGTGTAGTTGCTTAGATCACAGGTATTAGTGTATATAGTTAGTCAGAATGAGAATCATTCCAGTTAACTGCTTGATTCAAGAATCTTCTGAAGATTCTCAGGATCATTGCCTTACCCATCTTCTACATATAACTGTATGGCTTGCCCTTGTCATGTTTCCCACCTCTTCTCCTTGTTCTCTTTTCATTGTCTAGTCCTCAAGTTCTTGCTTTCCTTTTGCTTGTATTATACCTATTTGTATTTCTTCTTTTGAGTTCTCATACTAGGGAGACTATATGATATTTACACGTGTGTTTGAGAAGTAAAGCCATGGTGTTATGTTGAGCTATAAGGGAGTCAGGTCAACAACTTCTGACATTGCCAGTCAAGCAGAAGACCCAATACTATTATGGACTACTGAACTATTTTGGAATATTTTGCTGAGTTCACACACCTAAAATATTTAAATGACGGGACTAAACAAAAAAAGGAGTTACAGATGAATGACCATTTTGTATCTGTGTATTCAAAATGGTTAGTATAGATATATAGTTACATTCTCTTAATGAATAGAGGGATATGTTCTAATAGTGTTTGTAAATAGGATATCCTGTCTGCATCTTTTACAGCAGATAGCCTCTAGGAAAAGAGTATGCAATGTGTTAATATTGAAATTGTCATACCAATTTGATTTGAAACTTTCTCATTGCTATATGTGTCTCAAAATTATAGGAAAAAAGTATAATGATAGAAACTTTTAATGTATATGCAAAACAGGTATTCTGGGTCTTAAAACTTACTTGTTGTCTTTATCCACAAGTATAGAGGTCCCATTTGTAATTAATTCAACATCATTTTGATCCCAGTTTATCTGTAATTAAAATTATTCACTTACTAAACGTGAAAGTCAATCTGAACAATACATCATTTAGAATATCATTATTACCTATCACCAGTTGTTTTGTCTATAAAATTTAATTAACTGCTAATCATTTTTGTAGTTCAAATGTTAAATCTTCTGATTATTTGGTACAGGGTCTCGTTACCTAGCTCAGACTCATAGTGATCCTCTGATCTCAGCCTCCCCAGTGCTGGGATTACAGGCAAGTAACACCAGGCCTGAATTCAGTGGCCAGCATGGCATGCCATACTGTGGATTGATTATGGGTCGCTGTGCTTGCCAGGCAGCCCCAGATAATTAAATACATATAAAAATTAAAAACTTATTCTAATATATGGTATATGTCAATTTCATGAATAAATTATTTTGTTGTTTATAATGTTTATATTGATTGAATAATTGCTGATCCTTATTTATAAATCAGTACATTAAGGTATGAAATGAGAAAATAGCAAGAAAGATTTTACAATTCAAGAAGTAAAATATCTTTCACAAAATGATTCTATACTTAAGATACTATAATTAAACCTAATTATTTATTTATTTATTTATTTATTTTTGAGACAGGGTCTTTCTATATATTTCAGGCTGGCCTTAAACTCACAGTGATCCTCTTGCCTCAGCCTCTTGAGTGCAGGGATTATAGGTGTACAACACCATAGATTAAAATAATTTTAAAATATTAGAGTTAGAGCTATGTCTCAATGATAGAATGCTGGTCTAGCATGATCTAGGATCTGGGTTTGGATCCCAGTCTCACAAAAAAAATTAAAAATAAACTATGGGGGACCAGGGAGTTAGCTCAGTAGAATAAGTGCTTGCCTGACAAACACAAGGGCCTGAGTTCAATCCCCGGTTCTGCAAAAAAAAAAAAAAAAAAAAAAAAAAACAACTATAATCTGCCATTTATTAGTACTTACAGAAAAATACATGCAAAGTTCTTCAGTGTCACTAGTGTCATCATGTAGAACTTCTTGCAAGCTCCTACTGAAAAACTCAGTTTAAAATTCATATTTATTGATCTTACAAAATTTCAAAAGTAATATATGTTCATGGAAACAATTTTGAATAAGACATATATCAAATATGATATATTTTCTGTTCTCCACCTCTGAATCCTATTCCTAAAGCAACCTCTATTTAGGGTTTGTTAGAACTATTGCTGCCTCATAGACACTGCTGTCCATTATGAAAATAACACAAAGGAATGCCATCTCTAGGGTATAGATTCTCAACCAGGGATAATTCTATTTTCTATCTTTTCTAGGAGACATTTACCAAAATCTGAAGGAATCTTTGGTTGTTACAATGAAGGCAGGATTGCTACTGGTATCTAGTGAGTATGCTACAAATGTTGTTAAACATGGCCCAATCAGAATACAGTATCATGCAGATGCCTTGGGGGCTGTGGTGATAGCTCAGTGCTTACTTTTCCATGAGGCTCTGGCCAGTTCCCTAGCACCACTCTTGGCAACTCTCTGTCTCTGTGTCTGTCTGTCTGTCTGTCTCTCTCAATACCAACATTGCTAAGGCACAGAAACCCAGCTCTGTCATAAATGCAGCCAATTTATCCTCCCATACAGTACATGAGAAAAGAATCCTTTCTCACAACTTGTTCCCAATACTCTTATTTTACTTTCAATCTGTAAGCAGAAAAATAACATTTCATTTTCATTTCCTCAATTACGAGTCAAGTTAATTATGTATATTTATTAGATAGATGTATATTATACCTTTATATAGGCCATATATATATTTCCAGTAGGTGTGTGATAATCCAGGTATACAATGCATACTCTTTAAAGTAACTGTATCTGGCTGGAGAGATGGCTCAGTGGTCTAAAGCACCTACTTAGAACAAGCTTAGCAAAAGCATCAGGGACCGCGGTTCAATCCCCCAGCACCACAT